CCCCTCACTGGGAGCCCCGACCCCACCAACGCCGCCACTACAAAACTAAGTTGACTGAAGTTGCATCAACATACAGTAATTAAATCAGTTTGGCATGTCCACACTGGCTCCTTTTGTTGGCTTGCGCGTCCTCACCAGGAGCACTTGCGCCAATTTAAATGTCAGTGGGGCACTGATAGCCTGAGCCCCACCGCCCAGGGGACCAACAGCCTGAGCCCCGCCACCCGGGACTGACAGCCAGAACAGTCTGATGTAAGCAGTGCAGTGTCTACACGGACACTGCATCAACCTAACTGCATTGACTGAAGCACTACATCTCATGGAGGTGGAGTTATTAGGTCGGTGTACTCGGCGACTCACATCGGTGGGAGAACGGCTGTAGTGTGTAGACTCTGACAGAGCTAGGTGGCCATAAGCTGCCTTACTACAACCTAACTCTGCAGTATAGACCAGGCCTTAGCTTCCAAGTGAAAGGCTGATTCTACCAGCTGCTTGCCCCACACTTTCCTTGGGGCCCTGAGTGCTAGCATGGATTCCCTTGAACTCACTTCTGTCATAAAGATTCTGCAGTCAGGTTAGCTGCCAGTTCTGCAGATGATGTACAAGCCAGAGTAGCCTCCTGTATCCAAACTGGGGATCTCTGCAAGGTTAGGGTAGACTCAAGCTCCATCCCTCTGAGCTGGGGGGCCCTGCAGGGTTAGGGTAGATTTCAGCCCCATCTCTCTGAGCTGGGGGGCCCTGCAGGGCTACCTATCTATGGTGTTTTCAGGGTGCCTGTCATAGTGGCATCTAAGCACTTGAATAGAGTGATAAGCTATGACTGGTACATGCTAGGAGCTGCTCTGTGGAATAGAAAGAGGTCACTGGGACGCAGGCACATTCTGATCAAACTGGCCCTTTACCATGTGCTATTGGAAAGAGAGGGGACAGGAAGCTGCGTGATGCTGCGGTATTTCCAAAGGTGGGGGTTTATTGGCTGATTCACCAGAAACAAGCCAACAGTTCAATCATTAACTAGATCAGGAACTTGGGGGGGTCACACCCCCGCTTTATCACCCACTCCCAGCACACCGCAGAGCCCCACCTAAACTCACATGGGGCAAGTGAGATTAAGGACAAAGCCCACCAAGGAGATCTTCCTTCGTTTGTTGCCAATGATGCTACAACAGGCCAGTCAGTGTCCCAGAGGGTCCAGTCTGCAGTGCCCGCGGTGACAGTGGTTCAAACAGCAAGGTTGCCTCCATGCTGGATCCTGGAGGCAAATCCAGTCACTCCCTGCTCCCCGACTGCCCCAATGAACGATTCTACAGCAGTTACAAAATACGCAAGAGTGAGACTTGACCCCAGAAAGTGCGACGCTGTGTGCAATGCAGAGCCCGTGTGGTTACTCTGTAAGAAGTGTCACCAGCTGGCCTCGGAGCTGTGACAGCTGCGGCTCAGGGAGGAGGTATCTCTGGATGATGTGAATAGCTGCTGTCTCCGTAATGCTCTGGAAGTCCTCGGCAGTTTTGATGGGCAAGTGCCCAGCCAGCTCACAAAGTGCCACATTAAATGCAGCTTCCCCTTTGGACCCAAAGCAGGACCTCCTGGCCCAGATGAGCACCCGGATTCCAGAGCGGGTCTCCGAGTGGGATGGCTCCCCAGGATCAGTTCCCCGGGTCACAAACACGTTGTGTGCAATCTCTTTATCCACCAGGTAGTCAGTGACTTGGCAGACATTGTGCGCCAGGGCCCCTAGGCCCTCCCCTTCACTGTAGAACAGGAACCCTGGGGCCGGGACCCCCCGCAGGAAGTGGAAGTTGAGTGTGGGGCACAGGGGTTCGCCTGGGGCAGTCTCAATCAGGAGCTCCCAATCCAGGTAAAACCCATGTAGGTGCAAGTGGTTGACCGAGGCGAAGGCTCCCAGGCTGTTAAACCCAACGCGGAAGCCTGGGTGGGCACTGAGAAGAACTGACTCCAGCCCGAACTGGAGCAGCTCCTGGGTGAGAATCTGAGGCAG